TTATATTGAGCATACAGACTAATTAATTGCTTCTGAATTCTTCAAGCTTTTTAATGATGCAACATTGGAGTGGTGACGTTCAGTGTAAATGTTGAAGACAATAGACAATTCCCTAACTGGCATAAAAGATCATCATTTTAAACATTCATGGGTCATGAAAATTAATTTTCCTGGACCCAATAGAGAACCCGTTTGCATAATACTAGATTTCATTCTTTTGGATAATTCGCATATCTGGACAAGTAATAAGTAAAATGCTACTTTTATATTCAACTTCACAGAAAAAGAATAATGGAAATACGTAACTCTTAATCAAAAAATCGAGAAGAGCCATTTAGTCAAGCATGATTTGCTCTACATGTTGGATAGTATAAGCACATTTATTGCTCAAACAAATTTTACCGTCTATTCTTTTGAAATGTATTTATGCCTAGAAGGAGAATTCGCAGAATGTAAACCGTAACAGCTTTTTCAAACTGTATTAGACCGATACATGGATACAGTTTCAGCACTTTTGTGGATGTCGTGGTAAATAGAATATATGGAGAAGAATGCTCTTATCACTAAATAACAGCTAGTCATTAACAATAGGCATTTGACAAGGATGAGGAAATCCACACTTGGGAGTGTATTCTTCGTATAAGCTCTGGAACAAACAGCCAAAATGCAAGAATGAGACAAAACTTAGTTACTATAACGAAAGAAAGTGGCGATTAGAAGAAAAGACATCATTTTAGTGTCTTAGCTGTTGGAATTCGTCTTCCTTAAATTTTGTCTTATCCATCTTGTTGCATACCTGCCTACCTATATACAACTCGGCCTAAAGACAAGTCCACAAAATTACGCACATTCTCTCCTGAGTACTCACTTGCAAATTCATTTACTGCCCAGAAATTTACCTTTTAAACTCATTTTCCCTTATCCAATCACTTTTATTCCCTACTCTAAGCTTTCTTTGATTAAATGATCCCCTTGCAATAGTAGTTTATCATCATCCTTATCAAAAGGCATTTATTTTATTCATTCAATATTTATTTTTTTCTAGATCCTTATATTTTTCCAAGGTAAATATATCAAAAAATGTCAACATCACATTTTTTTACTCGTGAACTGCATAGTCAGATCCACAAATTTCGCTAACCCTGGAGATTGTTTTGCGTTTCCATGACTGGCCCATTGTTCTTGTCTAAACTTATTAGCTTACATCCTCTTCTATAGTAATTATTTATTTTCGAGGTAACTTCGCAAGATTGCAGCATTAGATCTGGCAGTTTGGCACCAGAATGTAAAATAATCTGAATAAATACTTAACACTACATATAAATGTCTAGTGGTAGTTAGCGATGCTTCGTTTGGTATTTACTAGACCTAAGCCTAGTCCAACACTTGCAAAATTTAACCATGGTTTTAGGTAGACCAAAAACGCGGTCGCTTATGAATACTAAAGAGTTTAGCATTTAAGAATCACCCGTGCTATGCGGTAGAGCCTTAAGGCATCGTTAATTTATAAGTAAAACTAATAATTGATCAAAGGTTCCGAAGCATTGAATCAGTGTATGGGTTACCTATTTTGCACAGATATTTATTATCATTATTATTTCTTCCAACATATTGCTTACACACTTGGCTAGATTAATCACTTATTTTCATCTTCACTTGCACTTTGCGTCCAATTACTATTACTCTGGGAATGCCAGTCTAAAATATCCACTAGAGCTGAAGTTCATGCTTATGCTATGCCTTTTATCTAGTGGGATATTAAAAGCTGATGCATTTCAGAAGTCTTGTCTACCATCTGGGTGTTAACTTCAGAATTTCTTCAAAGCTCTTTGGAAAAAGATGTTATTTTTTTCTGTTTACACCACATCTACGACACGGTACGATTAATTTATCTCCTATACAAAAATATTTTCGGTCAATATTTTTATACTTTTAACCCCACACTCTATCTGTAAACTAGTGACAGGGAACTATTTTATAGAAGATATATTAATATCTATTTATACTTTATTGCTATAAATTGAAAATTAAAGTAGGCAAAAATAACGTCTCACCAATTCAAAATTAATATGTTAAGCATGGGGTTATGACCACTGCAAATTCTTAAACTCACTGGCTCAGTTTGACAAAGAGATCTTAACACTAAAAAAGAAAAGACTTTGCTCTTTCTTCACTCACCTATATTAATGGCTGAAAACCTTTCTAAAATTGTAAAAGAATTGATTGCTCTTTTGGCTGCAAGTTGGAGTTTTTTGTTATTATAGCCTAAATAGAAACACTTGTCACATCCAATTTTATTCAGCATCACTCATTGTTAAGGTAAAACCCTTAAACTCGCTTGTCAATGCAATTTAACGAAAGAAAAAATGCTGAAAATTTTGTATTAAAAGTTGGATTAATGTTTTTCTTATGCCTTGAGTCCTAAAAATATATGAACATTCTGAAATATGAAATGTGATAAGTCCTCTATTTCTATGTTCTCTCGTGTGCAGTCAAAATAAAGGTTTTTCCATTAAGCCACGTGCAAAAGCTATCATCTTTCATTTAGACTCACTTTTTGAATGGCTCGACACTCTTTACGAGAGACTAAGAATATCTTAGTGAGCAGTTAATAATCGCCTTTTACAACTATTCTTTGATACATCAAGAAAATTCATTCAATACTATTAGCGCCTAGATTGTCCGTTGGGACAAATAGTCAAGATTCCCCTGCACGCTTCGCTGGACGACTAAAGCATCAATTCTCTAAATGTGAGTTAAGTGGCTTAAATTAAGAAAGTTATTCCGAATTATAGTAATAAATTCCGCCTATGAAGCCAGCTAAACACGGTCTACAGCAATTTTTTGAGTATCATCCAATTTAAACAATTTGAGGTAAATATTCGTATTTTATCAAGCTAGAGTATATATATGGGAGATTAAGGCCAAGCAGAAATTAAACCATATTATAATATTTACAGATTAATTTAAGGTCGATTACTTGCACCATCTGGATGCTTATATAGGGTCGACAAAGCTTGCTGGAGACAACCCGAAGATATAGGAAAATTTCTAAACGCCTATTGGCATTAACTTGAATGACCTTATGTTTAAAGCATAACCAAATAAACTAACACTACAACTTTGTTTTGTTTGCCCGTTCATCAACCACTTTATCCTTTACAAAGAGAACAACAAATATGACTGATTTCGAATCCGAATACATTACTTTGCCTAGATAAAGTCTTTTTTCACTTGCACTAGAAGGGCCATACCACATTTGTTACAAAAACCATGGTGCAATGGTTTTTTCATAGATTCCTAAAGAAATACTGATTCAGTTACAGTCGCATTGTTAAGTTATGCCTTAGAAGTTGGTCTAACATGATTTTACCTCGTTTTAGGTTTGCTCGTCTTGAGATAGAAAAAGCATATTTCGGATTTTATTTCCTCAATGCTTCTAACATATGCATTGATCACATGCCCCAATTCACGAGTTAAAGTGAATCAAAGATGGCGAAAATCTAACGTTTCTGACAAATGACCTAGCTTAGTGCAACTACTAGTAATAAACACGCCACTGACATAAAGGCCGTTGAGTTATTTAGTTCACGACGGATATACAGTTATCCCCCCAAATTGTACAGAAAAATTTTCACAAAATGACCATTAAAGCCAATCGAAGCATTCTGGATGAAGAATATTATCAATATTTTAAATTGCTTTTAAATTATTCTAGCATCAGAATGGTATTTTTATTTCATGAAAATTTCTATATACTTATCTGCCTTTATGTTAGTTAAAAACAGGCATACCTCAAGGGATAGCAAAAAATTATTTTTTATATCAATCCAGCTACCTAGCTTCATAATTGAGAGATTGTACTTTACGGCGTATTTGCTCATTAAATTTTTAATTTCTTTTTAATGTTCCGTCAGAAAGTGTAAAATGTTCTGATAGAGGTACTATGCTATAGATAGAATGAGTTCAGCAAGAAGACCATGTAAGTAACTTATGGAAAACTTTAAGACTTAAAAAATGTGATACAATTGTTGTTAAGCAAAAAAATTCTTCTTTCCTTAAATTTCTTATCTAAACGATGAGATGAATTTACGACTTTTTAATGTCACTTTATCCTTTTTGAGAGTTTAACTAATCCTGGACCAACCAGAACTTAATTATATTTAATTAAACTTACATTCATTGTGACCATGAAATCGAGTCTAGTTACCAATAAATATACATTTTATTTATCTATATTCTCATATAAAAGTTAGCATTTCTCCTAATTTGCCTTATCCTCTTCTATGCATATCAATGCAAATTAATTTTTATCTCTGACATCTATTGACACAATTTCTTGTGACTTGCTAATTAGACGTACGCATTTTTATTTATCTTAAGGTCCTCCCAAGATTGTGGAAATATCGCGGTCCGTTAAGGTGATAACTGGAGAGACAGTCTACCTTTTCTGCAGGGCCACTGGAAACCCACCTCCCGTCGTCACATTTCAGTGGAATGGGGTTGACTTGGCAAGCGTCTCCAGCACAACACAAGGTGGAGGAAATGGGGATCTAATGATCCCGTCCACTGATTCTTCACTCAATAAGTTTGGTGAGGAGAACGAAGGCGAAAGTAATACTGAGGAAGGCTGGACCCCTTTAGGAAGGCAACAGGCAACGGGACAGTGCCTTTTGAGATTACGCCCACGAGTGGAGCACACGAGAGGCCGGCTCTTTTGTCTAGTGAGAAACGCTATCGGTCAAACTCGCGAAGAGATAGAAATCACCGTCTACGGACAGAATGATTGTAAGCAAAATTGGAATAAAGAACTCTCCATTCATTGTGTGCATTTACTTAACCTCCATCCATATACGCTCTAACTTACAATTTTGCGCGTAGTAATAAACTATGTAGATACTTCGTAGAGGCTTTGGCAATTCATATTCATATTTATCATGGAATGTCAGGATGAATTAAGTCTATTGTTTTGTCGTGGGTCCGAAGATTGAGCGATCCCGTTTAAATTAAAATGAAGCTGATAATATTCGTTAGGCTCTCTTTACAAAATACTCTCCACAATATAGAATAATATATACTGACTACCTAATATTTTAATAATTTTCGATGACTATTAATTAGATGAAGTTCACATCTACTTAATCCCGCCATGTTAGACAAATAAGATTCAATTGAATCACTTTTGTATCGCCAGACCTTTTCAGTACTTGTATGAGCCAAGATAGTTGCAGCTTTATGAATTAAAATATTTCTAAAAAACAACAAACTGGAAATTGTGTAATATTATGATAAAGAAGGCTTATTATATGATAGAGTGCTCAAGAAATAGAGATAGTACAGCAATATTTTCTCAACAGCAAAATTAGTCTATACTTTTACATATTCTGCCTTTTTATCAGTAAGACTTCACATAACATTTTGCGTCCTAAAGCAAAACCTGTAAGTTGGCTTTCATTTTTAATACATGTGGATCACTAAGCTTTTGGGGTCTTACTTAGAGTACTTTGTAATAACACTATAAAAGGTCCGCTATTCTAGAAAAACTGTGAATGAATCCTTGATATTTATATATATATCTTAGATGCATATCAAGCAGTTTACCTATCGTGCTTTAAACATCAGGGAAAATTTCATTTTCCAGTGCTTATGGCTAGCTTTTAAGAGCTATTACCATTGCTAGTCCATTGGCGTTTAAAATCAATTTTAGATGTTGTAAGTAACAATATTTCAATATGCGATGTAACCATTTTGCATCAGCGATCTGAACCAATTTTGTTAAAAAAGATGAGGAAAATGCACAAGCCTTATAAATGACTAAAGATTTAGTTTCCACATTTTTCATTGTTGGATTAAATTGTCATTAATTTCTTACTTTATTGAGACCCAGTAGTAAATATTGCGTATCTGGGATAAGCTTAGGCGTTGGGCTTAAAACGCGAATTTTATTAAGCTCTTATTGGTAAGCTGATATTGGTAACAAATA